GTAAAACAAGGATTGTTAATGGTGAAAAGACTTTTCTTTCAGATTCAGACCTCTGCTTTTACATAACATCACATAATAAAAAATTTATATAATGTATATCCCATTAAAGGACAACAAATTAGGTAAAAGCTTCTTATGTATTAGAGGGAGATGATTGGTCAAAAGCGTTATGCTATGTGAAAATGAACATTTAAGTATGTTACAAAATGTCATCATGATTGTCATGCTGCAATGCTATGTATGGTTTGATTTATAAATTTCTGTGTAAAAATATGTTACTGTTGTCTGTTAACATTCTATAGGGATTTAAATATTAGAATATCCATGGTTGTTAGAAAATAACAGTTCCATTTTATGCTATAAGGTGTTTGATATTCAGATAAGATAATAACATTGAGCTTACTGCCTCCATTACAATGTAATGTCATTAATCTTCTGGATGTTCAACAACTGAGGTTTGGAGACCAAAAATTAGATCAATGGGCCAAGAGGATAGCCAATATTTTGGCCCTAGCCCTCCTAGGTCAGTGAGGACCAAGGATATAAGAGAATCACCATTATATAGTAACATGCTATATAACTCAGTTGAGTCCCTGATTTTCTGATCAAGGAAATTATGGGACCACAGAGGAAAGTGCTTCAATTATGTATAGTGTGCCTAAGTAGAGTCACTAGGAGAGAAAAAAAATCTCCCAAGCTTTAACAGAAAGCAACCCAGTCAAGCAATGGCTGTGACTCATCCAGATGGCTGATGCTGACGGAAGAACTAAGACATGTTGTACTTGGCTCCAAGATAACTCCTGAGGAGACTTAACTGACCTTGATAGGTAGCAAAAAATCAATTAATACAGGGCTTGCCTTAACTTGGTTTTAAACATCCAGCAGAAAAGTATAACCACAAGATATATAGAAACACAACCATAGTAATAATATGTTGTCTATAAAAGGTTCAAATCACTAATAACTTCTGGCAATTGCCAGCTACACTGGTAACTCACTACTGTTAGAGTTTATTGGACTGTATAGGGTTAACTTCCTGTATACAGATGCCTAAATCTTTGGACTGGGAATCTTTAGCCTAAACAAGTAAATTCACTCAAAATGGAAAGGATTAAAAAAGGAGCAGGTCTTCTACAGAATCCTCCAAACACAGCTTCTCCAACTTCAACTGAACACCCATCACTTACACTACAAAATAGAAAAGAGGAAGAAGTAGGGAGTGGCTGAATCTGGAAATTGGTCACATATGTGGGGGCAGCCAAGGGTGGAGTGCCTAAAGCAATCAAGCTACTTGCCTGAGACAATTCCAGTCAGTCACTAGACAACGTTGTGTTGCGTGATATTAACTTTGTCAAAACTATAAATAAATGCCCTTATGGTGGTTGTTGAGTTCCTTTTCCTCCCATCAGGAGAGAGAGGGTTCAGCCTGACCCCAGCTTTCATCTCTTACCCTTATTTCTTCATCCCCTTGCTGTTTTTCCCTGGAAACATTGAGAGCTGCATGGGATGCAGCAATGCACATCCTCCTGAAAAATATATGGAAGATAAACAAGCATTTCTGACTTGTTATTAATATCACCAACCTGGACTGTGTGTCATGATGACTCACTTATTCACTCTAACAAATGTGCCTTGGTATCCTCTGCTATTTCATCAACTAGTTATGCTAGCTGAAAGAGGAACGTGTGCCACTTTTTGAATGCAGATTCTCCTAAAATTTCATAACAAATATCTTTAAGAGTAGGCAGGGTCAACTCTTCATCAACAGTGAAAGGCTTCTTAACTTTAGCAATGCAGGTGGCCACAGAAAATGAAGCCCTTGGTGCAGACATATTTGATGAAGTGATGGCCTTCAATAATTGCCTCTGTTATTCATGTTTGTGTTCTTTTTCCTTTGAAATTTTCAAAGGCTTCTATTTTGATTCAGAGTGCTTGCTTTCCACCAGGTGAAGCAATTTTGAAAGTTTTCTAGCTTTGTTAGAAAGCTAGTTGCTACATATATAAACCAAGCTGGGTGAATATTAATCACCCATGATAATGAAGCTTTCTTTTAAGTAGGATGCTTGGTATTTTCTTTTAAACGCAACTTTATTTTCATTGGCAGTCTTTGAGTCTTCTGCTGTTTCATCATTGTCTTTCTCCTTTTCAAAGAATCTCTCTAATGATGTTTGTGTTTTTCTCAATTTGGCTATGCTTATCTTGTGTGCTAACCAAAACTGTGACTGAGACAAGCGCCCAGTGTGAGAAAGAGATGTGGGAAGAAGTGATAAATATAATAATAGGCAAACCAGGCTCGGAGTGAAAAAGTGTCAAATTCTGACTTAAAACATGCCACCAGATGCAGCTATAGATTGGAGTGTATCAACTCACCTGCCATCAGAAGAAAATTTTCACTTGCTGCTCTCTAACAGTGTTTCAATGAGTCTGCAAGCTGTTGATTTGTTGTGCTCTCTGTGCAGTCAAATATCTCTGTTAAGGTTAACCTGTATTTCCAGCTGCTCCTCAGTGTTAACATCACCGTCTCAGCTCCACCTCAGATCATCAGGCATTAGATTGTCATAAGGAGCACACAATCTGATCTAGATCCGTCCCATATGCCATTCACAGTAGAGTTCACACTGCTCTGAGAATCTAATGCCACAGCTGATGTGACAGGAGGCCGAGCTCAAATGGCAATGTGAGCAATGGGGAATGCCTGTAAACACAGGTGAATCTCTGCTCACAATCCCATTGCTCACCAGTGAAGCCCAGTTACTAGCAGGCCTCCTACTGCCCAGCTCATGGCCTGGTGGTTTGGGAGCACTGCCCTAGGGAACAAGAGTTTGATTATTGCTATTGATCAGCCATATCAAGGTAAGTTCTATTATTGTAACTATTCACAACCTAACTTTTTGGAAACACAGCCAATGTGTTTATATATGACCCATTAAAGAAGCACTGTAGAAGAAACTAACATGATAAGACAGGTCATGCTCTTCACCTGATTCAGATCAGAGTCTTTTTAAATTTTTTCTTGTAATTCCTTCTTTTTCTCTTATGTTATTTGGAAACATGTTTTAACTTTTTAAATATTTAAAGCTTCTTTATACATTTTATTTTCTATTTTTTTGAAATCAATGGCTTATAAGATTTTATTCTTTTAAAATTTGAGGAGAGTTTTAAAATGTTCCATAACATAGCCTACTATGGAGAATCATGCACTTGAAAGGTTCTGCAGTTGTTTGGTGTAGTGTTTTGGTTTTTGTTTGTTTTTGTTGTTTGTAATACTGAGGATTGAACATAGGGCCATTCCACTAAGCTACCTTCCCAGACCTTCTTTATATTTCATTTTGGATAGTTCCTCTTTAAGTTGCTAAGTTGACCAAATTGTCCTCAAACTCAAAATATTCCTGCATCACCCTCTAGAGTGCTGGAATTACCAGCATGTGGCACTACTGCTGGCTCTGGTATAATATTCTTTAATCATCAGCTAGAGTCCTGAGAGTGTCATTTACATCTTTTTTGGTACTGATTTCTTTTTACTCATTCTGTCAGTTTTGGGAAAGCTCTGTCAAAATCAACAAATAGTTGTAGATTTATCCATTACTCCTTTTAATTGTAGAATTTTTGTTTTACATATTTTGTTGCTTTTATTAGGTACACATATATTGATAATTTTTTATTATTATGACATATCTCTTTGTCTCTAGTATATTGATAATTTTTTATCATTATGACATATCTCTTTGTCTCTAGTAATGTTTTTTGTCATAAAGTCCCTCAAATTTTAAATATCAGACATTCTTCTGCTCTCTTGCTTGTCACATTCCTCCTTATTTGCCAAGTGTTTTCCTTTTGTTATCACATGCTTGTAGAGCTACAGTTTCCTACTTTTTTTTTTTTTGTAGCAGGAATCACTGAGCTATTTCCTTGGATCTGTCATTTTCTACTTCATGAGATATAGAGATTCACTTCAGGTAAAAAGTGTCATATTTTATCAAAAGTAAGTTATTCTCCAATGTATGTCCTCTGTGATGATTTTCTTCCCCCACCCCACTTATTTTTCCTTTTCTTTTTGAGACAGGGTCTTGATCTGTAATTCAGGCTGGACTTAAATTCATTATGTAGCCCAGGCAGGCCTGGAGCTCACAGTAATCCTTCTGTTTCAGCCTCCTCAGTGAGTGCTGGGATTACAGGTATGTGCCATCATGCCCTGCTTTACTGCCTTTTTATGTTGTATTCAGATTGTATAAAAGCCACCTGTGGAACAATTTGATTCACCAATTCACTACACCGTTACCAGAAACACGAATTTAAGTAGGTATTTTATAACCATTTCTACTTTACTCTGCATGTCATGCAGTCAGAGGGATATTCAGGGAAAATTTTCAATTGCACCTTTAGTAAGTAGCTAATAAAATTACTCATTGGTAATTGTCATTTTTATTTGCTTCCTTCATTCTTTTATACAAAGATTTTTTCCAAAGTACAAAATTTACTTTTGATTATCCACATTTACATCATAAGAAAAGTACCAAATATTTAAATTTTGATTTAGTGGCAGTAGAGAGATGAAACTTTCACAGATTTTAGTGCATCAGTGAATTTAGTGACAAATCCTGTGGACAGAATGAAATAGGCATTACTGTCAATCACTGGGAATTGAAAGTTACCAAGAATGATAACAGAAAAACAGGAATTTCTGTTCAAACAATTTCACATAGACCACACAATAAACAAGCCAGTTGTTCTTACTTTAAACTATAATCTTCAATGGCTCTTAATCTTATAATTCTGTTATTTCTTTCCGGAAATAAGACAGTAGCTAGCCAATACTCTTCCAGTGGAGGGTGGAGAGGCCAGTGGTTAAAGAAAACCCTTAAAACAGATTATCCATAAAATACAATTAAGGAGCAATCTCTGGATTACTGGACTTACAAATTTGAGACTTTAAAATGATAGCAAGTGTCACTAATGCTTTTCGTTGAAAATAGAAAAGTAATGATAATAATGTCCAACTGCTCTGAGGTTATACATCGTCAAAGAAGATGATCACGTTCTCAGCTGTCTTCATCTCCTGATTCACTTTACCTGTAGAGGTAGGTGAGAAGCAGTTTACCTTTCTGGGCTGGAAAGGCTGGGTTTGTAGGGAGGGTGGGGAGGGTAAATATGCCACATGTTGATGGTTTTTCAGCAGAGATACTCTGTATATATGTATGGGGCACTGCATTTCTAGAGTAGAATGCAAATATTAACCAGTATCACTTGTGTAGTCCTACCAGTCCTTGGTAAAGGCTGCCAAAATCACAAAAATGACTGCTGCAGTCATATTTCTGGTACAATTATTAGAAAGTTCATTTCTGTATAATGTTGATTCAAGACAGCATAAAGAGCTTGACATCTGGATTATAGCACATATATGCCTTCTTGTATTTAATTAATTTCAGACTGACTTTACTGTGTTTGCTTCGCCATTGTATTTATCTTTACATATACATTTTATTAATATTTATAGGAAGTTGACTAATTGAAAATACATTGCAGATAGAATGTCTGTTTATCCCTAAATATTTCCATGTCTATTTCCTAAATACAAAGACACTCAATACAATTCCAGTGCAATTTTAAAAATTAGAAAATTAACATTGATATAATACGTTAATCTAACTTTCAGGACTTACTTAAATATCATCAATTATCTCACTAATGTTCTTGTTAGTAAAAAGGGGAAAATCTAGTTTAGAATTGAATCCAGAATCATATTTTGCGTTTGTCTTCACTTTTGATTCTCCTTTAATCAGGAACTTTCTCTGTAATAGTCTTACTTCAGTGATGACAAATTATCACAATTTTAGTGTCTTAAAACCCACACATTAGTCCAATGTCAGTCTCAATAAGTCAAAAGCAAGGTGTTGACAGGGCTGGGTTTTTTGTGGAAGCTCTGGTAAGAGAAACAGGTTTTTTTTTTTTCCTGTTTCTAGAGCTTACACACACATTCCTTGACTCATAGTCCCCTTCCTTACGTTACTTGAACCTCTTCCATCACTACATTAGTTGCTACTAACTCTGATTATCCCACCTGCTCTTTACAAAGACCTTTATGGTTATAGCAGGTCCACCTATATAATTCAGGATAATCTCTCCACCTCACACTCCTTAATCCAATCATCTCTGTAAGGTCTCTTTTACCATGAAAGGAAACACATTCACTGGTTTCAGGGATTAGGAAATGGATGGGTGTAGGGAATTAGTTTGTTTACCACAGTATTTGAGATTCAGTATGTTTTTAAAAGTCATTGTAAGGCCTTTGGTAAAGAAGGTGGAAGGAAATAAAGAAAGAAAAATATAAAAATGCTCAATAGAGATAGGAGACAGGGTGAGATATCCACTGATCTGGACTTCTGATTTGGTAGATTGCTCAAGATGTAGTTCCCCTTCTTGATGGTGGTAAGGAAACTAGGAAACCTGCTTTTTTCTGAACTTCCTTTTAAAGTGCATTAATTCAATAAAAATGTTTGATGCCTCTGGTGGAAGACTGTAATGAGAAAATGTGAATTCCAATTCATTAAATTCTATCCTAATGTATTGATTAATTCCTCTCAAAGTATATACTCAGCTGTGTCCCTGTGGATTTTTTCTGCAAATGGATAATAAACCATATCACTTTCTTTAGAAGTCATTGTAGAAAGTAATTGATTTTCTTTATATAGAGCAGAAACAGAATCTTAAGAAGAAATCACACTTTTCTCTCTCTAGGACATCCATCCCTAAGCAACATGGCCATTCTTCTCTGCTTCATATAAACATCTGATTTTCAACTGGTTTCACAGGAAGCAGTTTGATTTTTTAGGGTTTCCCTGCCTGTGCCATAACTGTTACCATGGAAATGCTGCAGCAGCAGCAGAAAAATAATCTCCTAGAATTAGTAAAGGTTTAGAAACTGAGCTGAGTGAGTGCCATGGAAACTGAAATCCACTGACAAGCAGGAACAACAGCCACAGGAAAAGAGGAAGGGGATCTCAGATTTCCAAACATAGGGTTTTGGAGCATGAAAATAAATAATAGTACTTAATCTTGGAGCATACAGCAAGACAACAATAGATAAAACAAGGTTGTCTTTTAGCCTTTCTTATTCTCATCTGTCTATCTCAGAATTGCCTTCTTTTAAAAAATATCAAAGCAACTCATTTCCTGTGATACCTTGTCTTATGTGGATAGAATCTTTGACTCTTCAGATAAATGCTAGAAGGGTGTGTCTCAATCCATTTTGCCTTGCTATAGCAGAACACTAGAGACTTGGTACTTCATAAAGAACAGAAACTTATTTCTTACCATACCGGAAGCTAGGAAGTCTGAAATTAAGGGGCCTCTGTCTGGAAAGGGTCTTCATGCTGCATCATCCTGTGGTAGGAAACTGAGTTAGAGAGAAATATTATAGGCAATCAGATAGGCTAGACCCTCAAAGGAGCCAGTGAGGAAGACTAGACACCTTGCAACTGTGGGAGAGACAGACACCTCCAGCTGAGGGCCATAACTCAAGACAAAAGATAAAACAAATGTACCCACATACTTCCCTAAGGATAAACATCAGGGATTGATATTTCAAATAGGTCTGTATCAGCTTGAGAAAGCCAGGAAGAGTCACTAACTCAACCCCCTGCAGGAAAACCCCTGTCCTGTATTCATGCCCACTTGCTACATGACTCACTTCCCCATTTGATCCTGATTTAATCAATTTCACTAGAGCAATTAAAATTTGTTACCTAAATGAGTCCCAATCAAGAGTCTGTGAAACAAAAGCAAAGTCTTACCTCCATCCAATGATCTCACTGGAGCCTCCAAATGATACAGGGGAAAGAAACTCTCAACCTGCTAGATATCTGGTGTGAGTTTGTGTTTTTAAAATCTAAGAATGAATTTTAGGAATAATGGAGGTTAAGAGCAGAATATATTTATTGGGGAAAAGAAAGCTTCTCTACAAGAGAGAGACAGAAGGAGATCCAAATGGGTTGCCAAGGAACCCCCCTTTTTAAGGGATTTTTATAGAGCAAAACCATGAGGTGAGGGAGGTCCAAGGTTGAAAACTCACAGGTGGCATGAGGTGGGACAAAACTATTGTTTGTCAATAAGATAAAGGTATTAGAGACCTTTTAGAATATCAGTCCCTGATGTTATCTTTAGGGAGGTGTGTGGGTGCATTTGTTTTATCTTTTATCTTGAGCTCTGGTCCACAACTGGAGGTATCTATATTTCCCACAAGCTATCTTACTTGTGATATTGTGATATCTGACTGCCTATAATATTTCTATCTAACTCAGTTGCCTACAAAAATGCCATGGTGAAAGATATAAAGGAGAGAGAGAGAAGGGGGAGAAAGGACCAGAATATCTTTTTATCAAGAACTCACTCCACACAGAGCCCTCAAAACCTAATCATCTCTTAAAGGTCCCACCTCTTAATACTGTTGCATTGGGGATTAAGTTTCTAGCACATAAACATTGGAGGATATGTTCAAATACAGCACGTTGTTTTGGAGTCATTCTTCTTGCTAAATATCTCTATTCTTACTCTCAATTTGGAATTTTTCAAGGGTGGGGGTGAGGGAAATGAGATCTAGTATTTCATCCCACTTTCCAGTTTGAATTCCTTCTTGTTAAGAAAATATTCATCTTTATTGAAATACTCACTTTGGTTTGGGGCAGTATTCAAAAGCTTCAAATGATTACAAAAAATATCTCTATATAGCTGAATTCTAGTAGATATAAGTTCTAAATACTTAAGTAGCTACAACTGAAGCTGAGTCTTTGTGATCTCAATAATAAGACCTTACTTCCTTTCCCCAGCCAGATACCTCCAAGAAATTGCAAATTTTGGAATGAGAATTTACCCTGTAAGTTAAACTTTAAAACAAATGTCACTGCACCATTCCAATACCACAAAGAATCCAATCTTACAGTAGAGGATTAGGAAAATTTATGATGTGCCTGGAGAAGAATAAATTGACTGTCTTCATGTTTTCCTATTAGGGCATTTGTCTGTTACTAGGTTGGTAATTTTTCCCAGGTTCTTGATGCTCTAAACGAAGAAGTGAGAAAGACACCCAAGAATAGCAGCCAAAACAATGAATTATTTGAAACAGAAAAGAAATGATAAACTCCACAGAATGGGAGTGGGCCAGTGAGAAGAGCTCATGACGCTGAGGGGGCTTGGTGGTAGAGTTGGTGGAGAAATAGAAGGTTTAGTCTGAAGTACAACACCTGTAAATTAGTAGTTTGAGGCTGATCCTCTGTCATGTGGGGTTTTTGACTTTTTAAGGCCCTTGGAGGAACTGTCATGGAATCTGAAGTCTATGAGAAGGGAGTATGTGCCCAAATCTGCACAGTCAGTAGCATGGTAATTAGGAGTAAGATTGGGGGCAACGATGCATAATGCCCTGTGTAAGCTAAGTTACCTGATTACCTTTTCCCATTGTGTTTAAAACTGGTTACCCTACAACTTGGTTAATGTTTAACTCAGAAGGGGAACCTAGTCCCAGAGAACTGTCTCTAAGGCCAGGCCTCCCTACTTTCTCAGCTATTTCCTTGTTTACTATCTGTCTCAGATCTAGTCTAGAAATTAGAGACTAAGGTGGGTAGACCCTCTTTTTTTTCCCTGCAGCCTTTCATTAGCTGTTTCCTGCTTCATTTCCATCTTAGAGTGTTAGCTTTATATGTACCGTTTTTTTCTGGCCTCTCTGTCTCTCCAAGTGTCCTGGCTGTACCAGCTAGCATCTTACAAGTTAGAGATAGCGGGGAGAGCAAAGGGGGAAATTCTCTATCACAGTTCTGTCAGATTTTCCAGAAAAGAACATTTTGTTAAGTGCTGTGTACATGCATCAAGTCTCTATGAGCAATGTGATCATCATGTACTACACTACAAATTTTATATATATATATATATATATATATATATATATATATATATGAAGGAGTCGAAGAGATGCAGAAGAGGGAGGAAGGGGAATGAAGGACGTTAAAAAATTAAGAAATGTACATATACCAACTCCTCATGATGAAAGGAGTCATACATACAATGGCAAATGTACAAACAAAAAATAATTATAAAAAAGACATTTTCTGCCTCTTTGATCACTTATCATAGTTATAGGTTTGGTGCACTTTGGACTAGTGTTTTTCCTTACGAAGGATGCAGGTGTGAGTGGGGAAGGAATGATGCTGTGGCTTGATAAACTTTTTTTTCTATATTTACTGGCAATTCTGCATCAAGTGTATGGCATAAAACCCTTAGGAGCCAACTCAATAAATAATATTCCTTTTCTTTCTTGATAATAGATCCCAGAGAAATATACTCAGATGAAAAACCTATTTGCAAGCCATTTTCCAGGGGTAATGAATGAGATAAAAGTAGAAGTATTTGAGTCGGTTTTCCAGGAAAGCTTTTCCTCCTGTTTGAAATACGGAAGTGAAGGCTGGAATGCCTATTGCCATTTTGGACCACAATGGGATCTTGTAAAGAAAGGCCCATGTTGAAGATGTTAAAGCAAGTCAGAGAATCCTGCATGTCTGTTCACCATGTAGCTACTTTACTAATTTCAGACTTTGTGGGGAGCGGCTAAAGCTGGAGATAGATCACACATGCAGGGCTAAAGCAAGGCCAGTCCCAAGAACAGGGAGTGCCTGAGATACGCCACATGAACAAGCTGTTTAAGTTCCAAGAATGCAAGGCACATGAGGCAAGCCAGGCAAACAAGTTGTTATGCAGAGGGGTTTCAATTGACATCAACTTCATGAGTGTGTAAATAAATGTGATGCTGTCATTGGGCAGTTTCTTTCTCCTACCAGGAGAGCAGGCTCCACCTGACCTCAGCTTTCTGCTGACTCTTGTTTCCATTTCTTCATCCTCAACTATGCCCCCTAACCCAGAAAATCTGAGAGCTGCGCTGGATATGGCAAGATATCTTTTAATATTGAAGGGCTAAGTCTTTTGAAGTCAGTTTTGTTTAATTGTATACCAGTACATTTAATCCTATCTAGGTTACTAGATGAATGCATAATTTTTTAAGTTGTTTCATACTCATTAAAATTATGTGGTATGGTTCTAATTTTCATGTTAGATGATAGCTTCAGGGTGTTTTTTATTATTATTTTATATTTACTGCAATGCATATGGATAAAATTAACTGCATCAACTCCTGTTACAGGAGTAACAGGGAGCCATTTTTTTTCAGATTAAAACTTAAACTTGTAGACCCATCAGACTTTTTATAAAAGAAAGTAAACCAAGATGTTCTGGGGGTAGGAGAATTTGTAACCTTGGAGAGCCTAGAAAAATTCCTGGGAATGCAAGTTTATAGGACTCTGGTTTTCACTTTGTGTATTAGTCACTGTCTCATCACTTAGACACAATACTGAACATCCACAGTTTAAAGAAGGACAGGTTTATTTTGCCTCACAATTTGTAGAGGTTTCAGTCCATTGCTAGCTGACTGCAAGGCAGGACTAAATGGCACAAGGACATTTCAGAGTAGAGCTGCTCATGTCATGGTGGACAGAAAACAGAGAGATTTAAAGGAGGAGGTGGAGGAGATATAACTTTTCAGGTCATCCTTCCAGTGACCCACCTTCTTGGACCAGGTTTTAATTCCCAGCATTACATTTAACTATAAAATCATCAGTGGACTAATCTACTGAGGAATATTATGCCTCTGTGATCCAATCAGTCCCCAAAAGCCCCACCTATGATTTTATTTATTTATTTATTTGGTTTTTCTCTGGTACTGGGAATCAAACTCACAACCTTGCGCTTGCCAGGCAGGCCCTGTGACGCTGAGCTAAATCCCCAGCTCCCCCACCTATGATTTTATGAGGCTTGAGGGGGACATCTAGATATACACCATAATATCTGATTAGCCCCATTTTCATTCTACTCTGGACAAATTCTTTCCCCAAAGCATCTCCCAGGTAACCACTTGTAATAGTGTTTTTTCTTCTTTATTTTCTTATCTTTTAAAATTGGACTTTTAGGGATATTAAAATTTATAAGAGGCCATTGCTTTCCTGAACATCTGTATTACTCCTCAACACCTCAAATAAAAATGGAATCACTCATGCCAAGTGCCATATGATGAAGCCGAAACCTTAAGGAAGAAAAAGCCTCCCAGACAAGTTTTGCCTAAAAATAAGTGACTCCAGCCACCAGTTGGAAAGGACCCAGTCAGCCTGAGGCAGCATGATAAAGACGTTTATGTTTCCAGCCTTATAGGAAAATAACCTGAAGCAACTTGGTATTAACCAAAATTCCTCTCTCTCTCTCCCTCTCTCTCTCTCTCATATTTTCTGGATCCTGCTAAAGCCATCCTATAAAAACCAGCTGTTCTCTTATCTTCAGTAGATCACTCCTCTATTTTAGATGTGATGCTTCTTGATTAATGAATTGCTAATAAACCCATTAGATCTTTAAATTTGTTATAATTTTACTTTTTAACAGAGCCCAGAAAGACATTATTCACATTCCTGACTCATGACATGCTTTTATCAGATCTCTATATAAGGACATTTATTAATAACAATAGTAATATAATAACACTGTTAAACTTCCCCCCAAGATACTATACTCCCTCCTTCACCA